TGCTTCATGCATTGAAAAATGAGAGATATATATAAATTGAGGGAATAAATGATCAATTCTTTTTCTTTATAAGGGAAGATGAAAAGGAGGACAACACAGAAGGAACAAGATGTCTAAACAGAGCAAATCATAAACATTAGCCAAAATTCTGATCCAATCAAAAAAGCCTATTTCAATTAAACTTCCTTAGGCCAGAAGAATGATACTGTATACAAAGTACATCATCATCAATAAAACCCCATGCTTATGAACTTTTCATCTTGGCAGATAATGCCATCATTCAAGATTACAAACCAAGAATACATGCATGTTATTAGTAGAGGGATCCTCAATACTATAGCAAAACCATGCATTGTACAGCAATAAGAAAATCATATTTTGCGTCTTCATTAAGAAAAGTAAAGGATTATAATATATAAGAAATTACCTTCTAAATACCACTTGTATTACAAACAACAAACTTATAAAAAAGTTTGCTTAAAACAATACCTAACAAAATTTAAGTGTCCAATGCACACTACCATTTCACCAATTTTATATGTAAACACCTTTTTTTTTTATATGTAACACTTTATTGTGGCGAGTAGCCAGGCCCTAGAAGAGAACTGGCTTTGTGAACCATACTTAATGTTGAAGGTCAAGAAAAATATCAATCAGTTGTGTGTATTAGTCAACTTGTCTGTTAAGATAGATTTCTTAAAAATACATAAAAGGTACTTGTCATTTATGTAAAAATAAATATGTTAAAGGTTGAGTTCCACAAATTTTTGTTGTATAAAAACATTGAATTTGAGTCAAACGGCAAGGAGCACATCAATGGGAAGAGTTTTCTTGGAGTTTGTGCTTAGTAAATTAGTAAGCAAGCACAAAGAACTGCTGTAATCCTTAATGTAATGAAAGGTTTGCAGCTCCTGGTAACATATATGTACCTACTCTTCAAATATTCTCGCGATTCCTTCCTCATTGGAATTTTATGATTGAGGTTTTGCTTAAAATTTATCTTATCAACTATAACTTCCTGAATCAAAACTCAAAAGGCTTTACCTGTCAAAAAACCAATCAAGAAAATGACATTTCCCACTGATGGAAACAGAATCAACAGGGATCTTAGATATTAGACAGAAATCTAAAATATATGCAGGAGATCAATAGAAGGACAAAGCCGAATCATATACTCCAGTTGCAGCCACTTTGAAAGATTATGTACAGCGTACATTCAGAAGCTTACATGTATCTTTTTAATGATGAGCAAAGGAACTGATCATCTATCATAAGTTGTTCTTTCTAGTGAAAGAGAACAGAGCACATGTTATGAGAATATTATGATGATTCTAGTTGTAAAACACAGATGACGTAACATGAGGAACAAAAGCTAAAAATTGGAAACTGAAGAAGGCCACTAAAATTGGTTAAGCAATCTGCAATCCTAAATATCAAAGGGCCCAACTACAAATTAATGCAAGTGAAATTATGAGCTACCTAAAATGTCTTTCTTATCTTTCTTCTTGTTGAATATATGTTCTATCAATATAATCTGATGGCAACGTATAGTTGCAGTATAAAAAATTTCAGTAGCCCTTTTCAAAGCATACCACTCGGAAGACCAATCTAGAAGAAAATCCAATAAATTGATTATGTTGTAAAATTATAACAAATAAATCCCTACTGCTAGCCAAAAAAAAAAAAAAAAAAAAAAATAAAAAAAAAAAATAAAAAAATAAAAAAATCAAGCAATGACACAATGATAAGATTGACACTTAATGAACATTGTTTACCTTTTCCACAATATCTAGAATAAATAAGGGGAGAGAGGGGAGTATCTGAACCAATGACAAAATCAATATACCCTTACAGGCATTATATGCACAGCACATACATATCAAAATACAGCACCATAGTTATCTTCATGGGCACGTAATTGGAATTGTAGATGAAAGCTTATAAATCGACATTTTTAACTTCTTCACTACTACATTTCGAAAACAAAATTACAATATATATCAAATCTCAGCAACTATTTTTTCATCTGCCCTCTATTTGGTTGTTAAGAAAATTAGGATAACCGAAGTAAGATAATAATTGTCTACATATTAACCAAGAAATACAATATTCAAGGAGTACTAGATCAATTTAATTCAGTCAGTTCCTTGTATTACTCTCTTCAAATGACAAAAAATAGGCATGATCATTTGTTAAACTCAAGAGCAAGTTAAAAGTTATTCTTTCTTTAAAAGCAACAATCCTCTTTCAATGGTAACACAACATATCTTATCAACAAAACAAACAAACAAAAGAAATATCATTTCATTCGAACAATTACGGCTCGTACCATTATCCGAGTCCCATTCACAGCAACACAAGACCTCTAGGCCTATTCTCTGTCAAACGATTTCTTGAAGAAACCCTGGAACAAACAGCAGAACTCCATTACAAACAAAACACAACAGTATCTCTCTAAGAGGCATTTCATCAAACACTTGGTGATCAAAAACAAAACCCGCAAATTCACCTTACAATCATGCAATTAACCAAAAACAATAATAACCAAATCACATTAGTCACATAGTTCATGCTTCCAAATCCTCACCCCTAAACCCGATCAATGTAATCGACTGCAAAATGCAAACCCTCCAATTTCGACAATTTCAACATCGTATGCCTTTCGATAAGTATCAAGACCCTTGGATTAACAATATAAACAAACAAAATTTAGGGCTAATCTTTAAAAAATTCAAAGATCATATATTTTTCTGGATTTTTTTTTTAAAAAAAAAGTTCCTCATACCGGAATTTCGTCGGAAACTTGAAATGCAGTGATCATCATAATATTCTTGAATGGGTAAGAATTCATCTCTCTTCTCCATAGTTGTTGTTGTTGGTCAGAGGAGAGAGATAATGAATGAAGTAAAGCGAAGTGAATGGCTCAGACTAGGGATTCGATGATGGTTCTGTTTGTGTGTATTTTTCCCGCCAAGTATTCGAAGGTAGTACATGACAATATGACATTTCGTATTAGTTTTAACTTTTTTGAAGATGTGGGTGTAATGAAATTTGTTGGACAAATTATGCCCCTTGATTTTCATGAAGACAATAATTGCTTGGTGCCATAAGAAATTATTGTAAATATAAGATTATTTATGTTGATGCAAGCTTTCAAATCCAGTTTCTATAAAAAAGTAGAAGATAATCACGAGTGAGTTAAAAAATGAAAAACACACCCACGCACACACACAAATAATTGCTTTCCTAATTTATTAATTGTTTTATGTTAAAAACTTTACGTGTATCTAAATATCTAATAATGAGAATAAGTATTGTTCATGATATTTTATTTCATCTAATTCGAGGTTCTAACCTAGATTGTTGTGGTTTTCATGGGATCAAGCTTGGAAATCTTAAATTTGATAGATGTGTCGCGTGTGGAGATAATCTAAATCACTTTAAAGGGGCTTTATGTGTTTTTATTATTTTAATCTTATGTTAAGTTTGTTATTAGTGGATGTTAAATAATTTAATTGGTCAAAGTTTTAGAGATCAATACTTAAGACATACTAAATTTTGCTACAAGTAATAGAGTCAAAGGGTCTTGCACATTTTCTTTCATTTGTTATCATAGCAATTGGACTTGGAGATGAAATAATTGCATTGATAAATTAAACTATCATTTCTAAAGGTAATAATTTATAATAATCATATATGTAAGGTAATAATCTACAATAATCATTTATATAAGGTAATAATAAACCTATATTAAAGGGGTGGAAATGCAAATTAAAAAGTATGGAAATGGGTCAAAGTGTGGAACTTGTTTTGATTTTGCTAGTTAAGGTATGTAACATAATAGTTGCATACCCCACTTATGGATAATACATTAATAGCTTTACTAAATGTTACTAAAGTCCTTAAATTACCTTCTCCACCTTAGTATAAATATGCTACCAAGTTACCACTCTGGTCTCACATTCATTTATACAAAATTAAAAGACAATACAATTCTACTATCGTCCCTGCATTTGGGTGCGTTCTCTTCACAAGATCTCATCCATTCAGTGGCGGACTTGGGCTTAGACCTGGTGGGTCAAGTGACTCACCAGGCCCAAAAAAAAAATTTAAGTTATTTAAAAAAAAAAAATAAATTAAAATCAGTTAGAGGAGACTTCAAGCCCTAGCCTTCTTCTCTTCGTGACTTCGCCTCATCTCCATTCTTCAGTTCGCGGCGTTCGCCTCTTCGCTTCGTCCCAGCCAGGCAGCCACCGTTCTCTTCGCCTAATCGCCTGGTGGTCGGACGTCGGTGGTCGTGGACTCCGTCCTCTTCGTGGCTTCTCGCATAGTCGCATAATCGCATTTCGAAATCGCTACTCGAAACGTCGGTGCTAGTAAGTTGATTTCTAATTTTTATTTTTAATTTCTAATCTTCAAATTAATTCAGTCTAATTAGTTAATTATAATAAACTTTGGTTTAAACTTTGGTTGATTTGTTAATTTGTAGTTGGTTGTGCTGCTGAATTGGCGAATTGCTGTCTTGCTGAGTGCGTGCCTCGGTGCCTGAGACTTGAGTGCTGCCGACTGTCGTGCTGCGGTGCTGGCCGACTGCCCGTGGCCCTATTGCAGTGCTGCTCCGCCTGCTCCGCTGCTCGCCTCCGCCTAGCAAGGTAGGTAATCAACTAATCATCAATTGATTTTTTTTGTGAAATCTGTTTTGTGTAATTGTGTTTTGTGTAATTGAAATCTCTTGAACTTATTAGTTATTACTTATGTGAAATCTGTTTTGTGTAATTGTGTTTTGTGTAATTGTGTTTTGTGTAATTGAAATCTCTTGAACTTATTAGTTATTACTTATGTGAAATCTGTTTTGTGTAATTGTGTTTTGTGTAATATGTTTATGTGATTATGTCATTATGTGAAATTGCTTGATTTAGACCATTTAGTTGAATATTTATTCAAATAATTTTTCTGGGGAATATTGCTTGATTTAGTTCAATATTTATTCAAATTTCAGAATGAAGAGAAAACATACTCCAAATGAAATGCAAAACATTACTAGCTTCTTTGCTAAAAAGAATCCTACTCCAACTTCTCTTCCACATCCAACACAAAATGAACAAACTATAACTCCACCTCAAGAAAGTGAGCAACTTTCATCTCCATCTCATTATTCAACTCAAAATTCCCCTCAAAATGAACAAGGCCAATGTTCTCCTAATGCCCCAATCTTTGGAGAAAGATTAAGTGAACATGAATTTGCTAATCTTCCACAAGATCCAGGAAAGAGGAGAAAAATGAGTCAATTTCATAAAGATGATAGAGATTTAGTGAGAAGAATTTACATTCAAAGAAAGCCTTGTCAGCCCAAAGACTTTACATTTCCTCAAACTTCTATTTTTGGCAAAAATCGTCGCTTTTGTGCTAAGTGGTTTGATACTTGGACTTGGCTTGAGTATAGTGTGGAAAAGGATGCTGCCTATTGTTTCTCTTGTTATCTATTCAAGGATGAAAATGCCTTTGGAGGTGATGCTTTTGTTAGTGATGGTTTCAAATCATGGAATCGATCGGATTTAATAAGAAAACATGTCGGTAAACACTTGAGTGCACATAATAATGTTGTTTTAGCTATGATTTGTTCAAGAAACAAAATTCAAGCATCACACAAGCCTTAACAAAACAAACCGCTGAGAGTACAAATGCATATAGGACGCGACTTGAAGCTTCAATTGAATCTATCCAATGGCTTTTACTCCAAGGGTTGCCTTTCCGTGGTCATGATGAAAAAGAAAGTTCCTTAAGAAGAGGTAACTTTCTTTCACTTTTATCCCTTATTTCCAAAGGTAATCCTGAATATTCTAAAGTTGTTTTCAAAAATGCTCCTAGTAATTGTCAACTTACTTCTCCTAAAGTCCAAAAAGATATCATAAATGCATGTGCAAAAGAGACCACTAAAGCAATGCTTGAAGATATTGATGGTGGTTTATTTTCTATCCTTGCTGATGAGTCCGCTGATGTTTCTGACAAGGAACAATTGGCTCTTTGTTTGAGATATGTTAATAGAAAGGGAGAAGTGTGTGAGCGTTTACTTGGTATTGTGCATGTTGTAAACACTGCTTCTTTGACTCTCAAAACTGCTATTGAATCCTTATTAATGGAGCATTCTTTGTCTTTCTCTCAAGTACGGGGTCAGGGTTATGATGGGGCAAGTAATATGCAAGGTTCTATTAATGGCCTTAGGACTCTTATAGAGAATGAGTGTAAAGAAGCTTATTTTGTCCACTGCTTTGCTCACCAACTTCAATTAACTCAAGTTGCACTTGCTAAAAAGAATTCAGATTGTGCTTGGTTATTTGTTGATGTACTTGCACCTCTCTTGAATTTTGTGGGGGGTTCACCAAAAAGGAAAGAGTTTCTTCGTGAAAATCAAGCTCAAAGAGTGGTGGATGCATTGTCTCTAGGTGAACTTGAAACGGGTTCAGGTTTAAATCAAGAACGTGGATTAGGTAGACCTTGTGATACTCGTTGGGGATCTCACTTCAAGACAATCTTGAATGTACTTGATTTATTCCCTGTAATCCTTGGTTCTCTTGAGGATATTGCAAAAGTATCTGATACAATAGATTCTAATAGAGCTCAAACACTTACAAATCTTCTGATGTCCTTTGATTTTGTGTTCGTGGCACACTTGATGGTTAGTATATTTGCGATAACAAATGCTTTGAATGTGGCCTTACAAAAGCACGATCAAGACATTGTGAATGCAATGGCCATGGTTAATGTAACCAAGACTAATTTGCAAAAAATGAGAGATGAAGGATGGGATTCTCATAGGGAAAAGGTAATTTCTTTTATTGGTGACTATGACATTGCAGTTCCAGATATGGAGGCTAAATATGTTGTTCCCGGGAGGAGGTTGTTTAGACGTAAATGCCCACAAGTGTCTAATCTACATCATTTTCGAGTTGAAGTTTTTTTTGGTGTCATTGATCTTCAATTGCAAGAACTTGAAAATCGATTTCCCGAAATAACTAAAGAACTACTTGTGTGTATGTCTTGTTTGAGTCCTGTGGATCGTTTTTCTAAGTTTGATAAGGAAAAATTGATTAAGCTTGCAAAATTCTATCCTAATGAATTTCCAAGTTCAGAATTGATAGTCTTTGGTCATACACTTGATAGTTACATTTGTTCTGTTAGAGGAGATGAAAGGTTTTGGAATTTGAAGGGTCTTAGTGATCTTTCAATCAAATTGGTTGAAACGGGATTGTCTGAAACTCATGATAGGGTCTATTTACTTTTGAAGTTGGTGTTGCTTCTTCCTGTCGCAACGGCAAGTGTGGAAAGGGTATTTTATGGCATGAAGCAAGTGAAAGACAAACTACGAAATAGCATGGGAGATCAAATGTTGAATGATTGTTTAATTACTTATTTGGAGAATGATTTGTTTTTGAATGTTAGCATGGAAGATATCATGAATCGATATCAAAACATGAAAACTCGTCGAGAACTATTGTAATAAGTTTGCATTACTATTTAGTTGTCTTTTGTAGTATTATATGAACATTTGGTTGTATTTTGTACTGTTTGAATATTTGGATGTATTTTTTAGTACTATTATTTGGTTGTTTGGTAAAAATTTTTTTTTACATATTTGATTATCGATTGTGACTCACCAGTCGGAAAATCCTGGGTCCGCCACTGCATCCATTATGGCTCAAAACCAAAGTCGTCATACTTTGAACCCACACGCAATGCCTTGGAGGCCTACGATTGACCGAGCGTGGAGGATTAGACCCAGTAACTGGGGGTCTGTGGCTGACCGATATTGCACACCATCATTTAGCTATTGCAATTCTTTTCCTGATAGCGGGTCACATGTATAGAACGAACTGGGGCATTGGTCACGGTCTAAAAGATATTTTAGAGGCTCATAAAGGTCCATTTACAGGCCAGGGGCATAAAGGCCTATATGAGATCTTAACAACGTCATGGCATGCTCAATTATCTCTTAACCTAGCTATGTTAGGCTCTTTATAGGTCCAGCAAAGGATAGGTCAATCTATGTTACCTTTTCAAATGGACATCCCCTCACTGAAATGCAGCTTTACAATTTTTTCAACTGGTATATATTTTCTATACTACATTGTTTCAATTCATTTCATCAAGATCTCGTTTTTAGGAGGATTTAATTATCCGTCAATATTCAATAATGTTATACTAACTTGTTATCGTGTTATATTTTGTGCATAATGTATATGATTAACAAACAAAATTTACGATCTAAATAATCAATATTTTTTCACTCAGGAAACTTGGATTATCTGTAGAAAAATTATACATGCACTACGATCATGTTCGTAAGTCTCCCCAATTTGGTAAGGTATTGTTTTATCGACGTTCATCTGTATGGATAGTTTTGCAAAATAAGGAGGAGATGCAATATTTCGTTGATCGGAAGAGTCTTTGGTGCAAGAAGTGTAGAGAAAAGATGGATGACAATGTTTCTATGTGACTAGTTTACTGTGAACAATGTTCAAATTAAACAATGAGGTTAATTAATCAGATCAAGCCATCTATCAATTATTATGTGTTGTTTTTAACTTATTACCTTAAAAAAAAGGAAAAATGGAAATTAAAAATCCAACCTTTGCACTTTTTCTTCCTAAAAATCCAACCTTCATTTTATTCCACAAAAATCCAACCTTCATACCCCCCCTTCTCCAACAGATCCATTTGACCTTTAACCTGATTAACAGGTTAATTTTTTTTTTTTTTAAAATTTTCTCACTTTCCCTTCTCACTCCTCTTTCTCTCTCCTCTCTCCACAAAAACGGAAACAACCAACCCACCCACCTGCTTCCCCCTTGAAACCACAAGACCCACCCACTTGCCGCCCCGAAACCCCAATTGCCACCCTCTTGCCACTCTGATATCCAACCCCAAGTGATTTCCTCTTTCCTCTACGTACTACCGCATCCAAATTCGTGATACTGCGACGTTTTTCGGCGACGATTTTTGGGTGGTACGGTCTGTTTCAAAGCCCAAAGGTTGTTTTAATTTGTGGGCAGGTATTTTCGTGGCTGGGCGGTTTTAATTGGTGGCTGGGCAGTTTGTGGGGGGTTTGGGTTTGGATCGGAGTTGTTGGCTGGGTTTATTTCTTGGTGGCTGGCGTATTTGTGGGTTGGAGGGTTGGAGCAGGTGCGGTTTTGAGGGTGGAAATAGAGTTGGGCGGTGGTGCGAGCTAGGTTGTGGACGGAAAGGGAGGGTAAGGGGAGGATGGTCGGAAAGGGAGGTGGTGAGGAATGGTGGCCGAATTTAATGGAGGATGGAGAAAATTGAAAAAATAATCATGGAGGTTGGTCAGATGGGGGGGGGGGAAGAGGTGGCTGCCGGAAATTTTTGGGGCTGCCAGATAATTTAGAGGAAGAGGGTGGGTATTCCGGTGGCCGGTGGGGATAGGGTGGGCTGGGAAGGAGGGTGGGCTGGGTTTCTAAATTTTTTTTAAAATAATTTTTTTTAATAATTAAAATTATAATCGACCTATTAATAGTTGACACGTGGCATCTAACTTAAAAAACCGGTCATCAACAGGTAATGGACCTTTAGATGAAGGGGGTATAAAGGTTGGATTTTTGTGGAATAAAATAAAAGTTGGATTTTTAGGAGGAAAAAGTGCAAAGGTTGGATTTTTAATTTCCATTTTTCCTAAAAAAAAACATCTATGATTTATTGTTGTTTTGTTATTTAGTTTGTCTAGTTTGTGCTTGTTGCACCAGAATCGGATGTACTGTATTAGAATATATTTTATCGATACTCCTATCAATTTACAATGTTATAAGATTTTATTAACAATAATGTTGCAGACTTTTTTTTTTAATGTTGCAGACTTTTTTTTTCTTTTTTTAAAAAAAAATTATTTTTACACGAGATTGTTGCATACTTGTGTATACGAGTTTTAAGTTTTGTAGCACAAGTTAAAGCATTATATAATTATATTCTCGCTAAATTTGCACTGAAAACAATAGACTAACACTCTCGCTTAATTAACTAATTACAAAAACAATTTCAATGGCTCCATATGTATCACTATGAAATTTAACCATACTAATCTCTTATATAAAAGTTATCATAATAATCACATAATTTATTTAAGAAAACTTGGCCATCGATTAAGCTAAATGTAATTACAATATACTACGAAGTAGTTTGGCATTTTGCAATGTACAAAACTACAAAACATCATGTGATCCATTGTGTTAAAAAAAAAAAAGGTGATCCTACGTTTCATTTATTAATTACTCGTATATAGTACTCATAAAAAATATTGAATTGGATAAAGTTTTAGGGGTAGTTAGGCATTGATTATGGAATTAATGCAATTATTTACATGTATCCCTACCTTATAAAAAGTGGGAAGTTGTTGTTATGAATAGTGCATGGACCTTTTTGCCCTTCAAAATATTTATTTACATTCTTACCCCTTTATAATCCCTACCCATTATTGAGTTTTGCACTTTAATTTCTATCTGCTCAATCTTTAATCACCATCCCTGAAGAAAACCCAAAGAAGATGAAGCACAACTCAAAAGTAATAATTGACCAGCAATAAAGATGATGAATGTGAAAAAGCTTTTCATTAGCTCAATGGATGCTATATTTTTAATTTATTGCACAACATTTTACGTTATCAATCTGTCATAGGAAGATTAAAATAGTACTCCGTACTTAAAAATAATTTGCAATAATTATTCCCATAAACAATAATTGTAACTTTTTTCAAATTTCGTGCATTCATTTCCTATTATCAATTCAATTCTAATTAAATTCTAATTAAAACCAAGCTCAAGAATTGCTAAAGTTTGTAACTATTTTTTTTAGGAAACTGATAGTTCTTTTATAATTCCAACAATTTATATACTTGGCTTTCCTATTTCTCCTTCATCTTAATATCTCCTTCACCTTTAAAAAAAACAAAGGTTAGTACTGTTCAATGCATTATTTCACAGGGCGACTAACAAGAATTTGAAGTAATAACTACCACCTTGGCAACCAAGCTACTGTACGTTTAGATTGCATCAACAACATCCCTAACTAGACTTCGGGTTCTAAAGTGGGCTATCAAAGCCATTTCCTTTTCCTAGACTCTACTAGAACAACTTAGCTACAACATGAATAAGTACACAGTGTTTCTTCATACAAGAACACTACCACATACAACATATTATGCTCAATGTTTGGTTGTAATTGTTGCTTTTGAACCTTTTGTTTGTAACATTTTCAAGGTTATGGTTTAAGACTATTATGCATTAGGTTATATGCTTTAGTTGTTCCAATAAACCTTAAAACTATGGTCTAAATTCGTAAGGCTTTATTAAAAAACACTTATTTTAAACACATAATGTAAAACAGTAATCGTCCACAACTAAAGTAATCGTTGTTCCACCCAAACACTGCCAAGTTTTAGCTACACTTGTGATAATTACGTATACATGTGATAAATGGATATTGTCATTCCTAAACACAAGCTGAAAAAAGCTAACTCGAAATGGCTAGCCATTCCGCGCGCAACGCGCGCGTTAGCTGCCCTAGTATATGGAAAAATAGATCCTCGCTCGGTTAGTAATGTACTAATGTTTCACAAAATATTGGCGGATGACAGTTTTTAAATTCAACTAGCCTTTTGGCCCGTTCGATGCATGGGTTCTCATCTAGGTTATTTTATATGTAGGTATGTTTTTCAATAGTTGAAATTTTTGATATGAAATACGAAGTAATTGTTTCATTGCTAAAACTTAAAAGAAAAAAAGAATGAGGATAGAATTGTGGAAAAAGATAAAGGAATTTAGATACGTATATATATACATGGAGATTGTAGGATATGAAATGACATATTGGTTTAAGTTATATTTTAAGTTTATTAGTTGAAAAGACAATTTTTATACAATTCAATTCATATGTTTATGCGATGTGTATTAATTGGTTCAACTTTATTTTATTATGATGGAAATGAAACACTTCATTTTCTTAATTGAATTTGCAAGTTATAGAATGTATAAAGACTTAAACAAAAAGATTAAAAGGGGTGACATGTATCATATGTGGTAGTGAGTGACTTGTGATGACATGTGTCACATGAAAAATTATGGTTTGTGTTTTTAAATACTAAGTATAGATTTTGAAATTGTTTTACAAAAGCCAGCAAAACTAACTTTTAGAGGAACAAATACTATACATCTAAACATATTTGTACTGAAGAATTCTCTCGACCCTTCTCTCTCTAACCCCATCCTTATCCTCCACCGCCCCCCTTCTTTCTTCAGCCCTGCTCGCCGGCGACTGGCGTTTCGCCTAGCCGTCGCCGGCGAGCCCAGTCCTCCCGTTAATACCTTTTTTTGCTATTTTATTTTTAGTTTTTTGGTCTGTTTGGCGAAGAATACAGGAAGGCAGGGAGCTCCAATCCTCTTCGGTAGTTCGTGGGTTTTGGTATATCGTCAAGTGTTTTGCGACTAGTTTCAAGGACTAAAGAACCAAAGGGCTACCCTTAACGCCGCCGTTGAAAGGATTAATCTAATTTCCCGACGGTAAAGGTGAAGTTAAGGCTAGGGTTTCCTCGCGTATCTAAAGTTAGATTCAGTGAGGGGTTCTTTTTCTGTTGTCGCTAACGATTGTCCGTGGTGTTGAGTTGGTTATTGTCGGTGAGGTCTTTCCCGTTCTTGTTGTTCCTTCCTATGTTCTTTCGTTTCTTTGCGTTCTTGTTTTATTTTAATTGTTGTTTTGTTTTGTTTGGTTTTATTATGTTGTTTTTGTGTAAGCTTCTGGTTTGGTTGGTTATGAAGTGTGGTTTTGTTGTTTTGTTTGGTTTTAAATAAAGTTATTTTAACACCGGTGGGTTTTGTTGTTTTGTTTGGTTTTAAAGTTGTTCAAGTTATAGAGGGTTATGAAGTGTGGTCGTTGTTCTCGGCACCTTGTTGGTTGGTTTTAGGGGTTGTAAGGTTTAACAATCCCTTGCTAGTTTGGTTGGCGGTCCTTTTAGTTGCTTGTTCGGGGTGGGATTGTGTTATGGGAAGTTGTCATGTTGCATGTGTGGCTTCCCCCTTTGTCAGTTTGGGCGATGTCCTCTGTGTTTGTGCTGTTTTCCAGAGGCTAGCGATATTTATGTAAGCAGAAAGTACTCCTTGCATTTGGAGTTTGCAGGGGGTAGGTAAGTTTAAGGGGAGAGGGTTGTACATTGGCCCTGTTGCTTATTGGTTGCGGGATGATATAGGTCTTCATTCAATGATTATCATCCCAGTGTCGGTGTTGGTGTTGATGATGACAAAGACAATCATCATTAAAAATTTCAATCTTGAAGGAGGCTCCCCATCTTTAATGTTTGGGGTAAGCAAAGTCCTCCATTTTCTTGCATTCTATATAGGTAGATTTGCAGGAAAGAAACCTACATTTTGGTGTAAGGTTTCTCTTAGTAGAGTCGTGAAAAAATTCGACTCTTATGGTTTGGCTCCCGGACTCTTAGGAGATAATTCCCTAGGAGTGGAGTCGGGTGTTGGGTCCTTTTTTCAGCAATAGGGTGCTTTTGAATTTCGGGTGTATTGTCTCTACACTACTTCCGTCGGGATTTTTCATAGGGATTATACTAAGTTTCGGTTTCCTTCTTTAGTATTCGCTTGCATTATCTGTCCTTCTCCAAGGTTTTGGTTTGTTTGGCAACTTTTGGTCCAACAAAAGGTTTTGGTAAGAACCTTTTGGTTATCCGGGCTCCGAGATGTTTGGTATGATGCACATGGGTGTATTAATTCATTTCTCTTTCCCTCTACTGGTTTAGTTAAGTGGGTTTTGTTGTTTTTAATTTCTTGTTTTAGATGTCTTAGGTTGTAATTTGTCTTTATTTATGAAGTTCTCATTGTAAAAAAAAAAATAAAAATAAAAATAAATAAAATTTAGAGTTTTGTACTAATTGGTTAGTATTTGTCAAAATACGAGTATACAAACTTTATTACATTCAATTATTAACAAGCACCTTTTATATACATACATCAGGTATTCGGGTGTTCATATATAGGTAGGTGCACCATTAGGGGTGAGCATACCCGGGTACTCGGTTGGGTATTTTGGACCCGGAACCGGTTACACCGGGTCCAAAAAATCTGGACCCGGAACCGGAACCGGTTATACCGGGTCCTAAATATTTGGAACTGGTATTGGATCCGGATGGAACTGGTTCCAAGACCGGGTACCCGATGACTTTTTTTAACAATTTTTTTAAAATTTGTTCCTACTTAATTGCTTATATGCTATGTTTCTATGATAATGTAAAACCCGCAACCTGTATAATCTTAATTTATAACACACAATATTATACACATAATTATTAATAGGAGTACACATTAAAGCTAAAAATACATATAAATTACAAATTAAAAGTTCCTCGAAAAAGTTCCATAAAATTAAAAGCTTATACAAACAACCAACTAATATAAAAGTCCACTACACAATACAAAAGTAATAATACAAGCTCCAAACCATTTGATTAATCCAATGATGGATCCAAGCACAAACCACACTATTCTAACTCCTTGTAAAACAAAAATACAACAAAATTAGTGAGTAAAAAATTAATATAGAATAAAATTTTAATAAGAAAGAAGATAATAAAATAGACATTTACATTTGTTTCCTAAAATATCATCAACTTGTGTAAGCCCATTATCATCCAACTTTGTAAAAATAAAAATTATAAACACGATTAGTAAGAGACTTAATAATTTAAGAGATATATTAGAACAAACATTATTAAACGGACAAAGGTGAACAACTAAATATAAAAAAAAAAAAAAATCAATCTCACATGAACATTTTCGCACAAAAATTAGATGAACAAATTTAAACGAAAATGACTTGATAAACATAAAAATTCAAGTAAAACGAACATAATTAAACAAAAATTACCTCGAATTCGCTTAGATAACCATGGGAGAGTGTATGACACCGATGAACAAAGATTAAACTTGAGATTTTGAGAGATCTAGGGATTAAATTTTGAAAATTGAAATAGCTAGAGAGAGGAGAGAGTGTGAAATGAAGTGATGGTGGCTGAGAAATGAACTAGGGTTTTTCCTCATATTGGACTTTTAATAAATGGGCCAAATTTATCTAGATTCTGGGTAAGTGGGTATAAAAAAATCCTACTTAGATATAAAAAAACCAGTACCAGTAATCGGGTACCCGTTATTATTGGATCCAGTATCGGGTACCCGGTACCGAAATTGGTTTAACCGGGTGGTAGTGGGTACCGGGTCCAAAAAATTTGGACCCAGAATTGGAACCGGTTGCTATCGGATCCTAAATTTTGGAACCGGAACCGGAACCGGTGGTACCGGGTCCGGGTCCGGACCCACCGGGTCCTAACCGATTCCAATTCCAAGACCGGGTACCCGGAATTTGTGCTCACCCCTATGCACCATGCACCAAGGGATGCTCTTTTTGCTCATTTGACGGAGTATGTTTTTGCTCTTTTTAAGATTTTATTATGAACAACAAATAAAAGTAAATAGCCTTGATGTTTGCACTTTATACCTTGGTGTTCATAACCTTTTATTTTTATTTTTTTTATCAATGAATCAATTTGAAATTTTATTTTACAATATCAACAACTAATTTGTGGCAAACGCTTTTAACAAACAACTGTGGCTTTGACAATTGACAATAATTACTAACTAACATTTACTCACACAAATAGAACAAAGAAAGAAAAGAACAGAAACATACAATTAGGTTAGAACGGTGCTGAATTGGCAACTTGTTATTTGACGAGTAGCACGGTTTATGCATGACATGATCATTTGGAACTGATAAATTATGTAAAATAATCAAAGGGATAATGGTTGTAGCTAGGGAATTGCTTGCAATTTCAATAATTCTCTAGCTACTAGTTTGACTATTGGATCTAGAAAACACAATTAGTTTGACTAAGCATGCAAATTAGCTTTGCCAAGCTAATTTGTTTGGGAATTAAACTGCCAAAATAAAAATGTTCATTGCACCAATTAAGTTATTTCCATGTATTTTTTATCCAACAACTACTACTAAGCTAATAGCTAGCCAGTGGAGCAAAAAATAACTAAAATGATAATTAGCTTAAAAGTATGTGGCATGGCAAGCTCATTGGAGTTGCTCTAATATTCCATAAATGAAGGGCTTACTTAATTATAAATTTATAACTACTCACTCGTGTTAAAGAGGGATATTTTGAACAAACATAAGTTATTAACTTACCAATCGAGTACGTGTATTGAGCAATTTAGATAAGAATAAAAGGAGTAAATAAGAACAGGGGTATGTACATCAATTCATGTAATCCATTACTTATTTGGTAGTATTTATTATTATTATGAAAAAAAGGTTTTGCGTATGAACACAATTATATGAATTACATAAACGAAAATGATTACATGCACATATATATATGTTTATAAAATTAAATTATTGATCAATAATATCACGTAAAGAGGGAGTGAATTGTACACTTGCAATTGACAGCAAGTTTCGTTTGAGATTATAATAAAATTACATAATCAATATCATAATTATATTAGTCGAACTTGGTGATTACATCACGTACATAGGCAACGTAACAATATGGAAATTTAAATTCGTATTTGTAGTGTATTACCCACCCATCACTCTAGGGATATATTCTTTCTCTTATCAAGGGAAAACTCAAATTATTCTTTTTATTTATTACTCCGTACTTTAATATATAAATACGGTGCGCAATGTAATTAATACGAAGCATATAAATTTGTGTAAAACTGCGATGTAATTATAAGGGTTCTCGTATATGTTTTTACTTGTATTAATGAATCATTTACGGAGTATAATAAACTAACAAAAAAATTCCTGTAGAATAAGGAAGATGATCATGAAGTCAAAGGCTAAAGATCTTTCTTAATCAAGGGAAAACAACAGCAAATTAGCAAATTGATTGGTATTAATAAATTTGACGTAAAATTCAACGTTATCTTTGGTCAGCTAAGTTTAACAACTAGATTATTTTTACAAAGTGGTGTAATCGTGTATAAACAGCAAATAAAAAAAATATATATTAACGAAGCAATCAAAAAGGTTTGAATTTTCAAACTTTGTATTTTTTATTTTTAATAATTTTAATTTGGGAAGTAGGTGGTGGCTTGAAGTAAACTCCTGAGTAAACAACAAGGCTTAGAATGTGACAACAGTGTCATGTTGAGAGGTGCACAAGTGTGTGTTTCTCGCATATTCAGAGCTTTTCTTGATGCACACATCTGGGAATCTTTATTCCACTAGAATCTCTTTTTACTTTTTAAGCTACTCTAAGCGGATCCGGGCGAGGTATAATGATCAATGAGTTAGGTACTCTACCATTCGAATTTGTATAAAAAATATATTTCTTTCATTAATTTTTCAAACCCTATTAGAGGTATTTTGGAGTGGGAATTTTCTTATTCTTTCTCTCATATTTTCGAAGTGTCTAGTTTGTTAACTAGGATGTGGAAGACATGTGAAAGATTTTGATCGGCTCGATAGGACTCTACTCTTTACCAACCAGTAATAACAATTTTTAGTTGCAACAAAAGAGTTATTATTTATGAGATAAAAAATCTTTACGTGCAATTTTTTTTTTGAATTTTTTTTATTTATTTATAATCATCAAAGATTAGTATTGTTTCGGGGTTTTCTGATGTCCTGCGGGAGAGTTACAATTCCGAGACTGGAACCGGACGCCTGTACCTGCAAAATAACGGAGACTCCTGAGAGCTCCGCCTCCAACGGTCAAGTTAGTACCTGATTAAGGAGTGATTAATACGGAAATTAAAGTAATAAGATCTCTCTAGGTGAGAGTGTTTAATGTTGGTAATCTGCGTCGTTAGCGAGATTAGCCGGTTATTAGTGTTCCGTAATGTTTCTGTTCTTCTCTTGGTTTCTTGATCTCTCTAATTAATGAGGATTAATTAAGTATTTATAGCCTTGAGAAGCGTGCCACTCTCTAGGTTTAGGGTAAACCTAGGGCTGACCGGGCCTCTAGACAGGATTGGGCCTTGTTGGCCGGTTTTCCCATTTGGCATGGGTGGACACGTGGCGTGTCTCAATTGGTCCGTAGAGGACGTATCTGTGATTGACACGTGGCAGGCTCCTATTGGCCTTCGTGAAGGACACGTGGCGGAACCTGGTTGGTCCACTTGTCAGACGGTGATTGGTGGATAAAAATCCCCTAATCATTTGCCCCTCACAGGTGGCACGTGACTGGTCACGTGTCGCCTGTGACAGGTGTCGCACGGTGACAGGCGACGGCCTGCTACAGGTGTCACCTTGCAAATGGCCGAGAGATTTTCCCGCCCAAATTTTGAATTTGGAAGCGACCCTTCGCCTTCTCACTTTGCCTATATAAGGAAGTGCTGACTTCGGTCATTTTCACATTTGAGAACTTTGCGAGAACATTCGGACCCCTGAACTTGCTCTGACATTTCGGACCTTTTCTGCCTACCGCCTGTTCTGACAAGCCGACTGCACCGGACTTCCAGAACTTCATCAACCGTCACTCGTTCAGGTAACTCAGTTCTCTTACTCTTAATTTTCTTTTTATTTTTTGAAATGGCACCACGGAAGCACACGACACGACCTAAGTTAGTGATCAGCCGGTCACCGGGGACGGCTGAATCTAGGACTAGGAGTGCCGCCTGCCCTTTTCTGGACCCATCTTTGCCCTTTATACAAAGTCCGACTGTATCTGTGTCTATGCAGAACGTGATGGCCAGAACAAAAAAGACTGCTATGATATCAAACTCAGACGGCTCCTCCCAAAGGATGCTCATTAGTGAAACATCTGACCAGGCGCCAGATGTAGAATTGAAACGAGGCGGCTGCCAAGCCGACAGTTCTGAGAGAGGGGCCAAGGTGGTCCCTTCCCATCTTACCGTTGACATGTCTAATTTTCCTCCTGCTCCTTCTAAGGGAGAGGAGGCGGGCCCCTCTGGGAAAGGGGAGGAGTCGTCCTCTTCGGACTCGTCAGAGGACGAGTCCGAGTCCAACTCTTCTGGCCACAGTTCTCCAAGCTCAGAAGAAAGACATAGCCGCCTACAAGAGGCGAGACTTTCTCATGCAGTTGAGAAGGGGGACAATTGGGCGGAGCCGTCCGCCTCTTACAGAGAGGAAAACGCCCCCTACTACTGCATGGTACCCCGGGGCCGGATCGCAACCATGCAAGACAAAGTGGCGAGCTTTATTGCTAACCACAGAATGGGCCCGGAATTTTTACTGTTCGTGCCGGATCCAGAAGACACTGTCGTCTGGCCGGCTGGTACCAGCTATGATGACGGCTGCTTTGGCTGCTATGTGGCGGCCATCAAAGCTGGACTGCGCTTCCCATTACATCCGGCTGTTCAGCGGATTTTAGATGGGTATGATTTGGGGTTATGGCAGTTAGCCCCCAACTCTTGGGTAAACGTACTCGGCTATGTGGCCGGGTGCGAAATGTACGGGGTGGAGCCAAGCTTTGAGGCTTTCGCCCACATGAACTATCTCATCCGGACCCCTAAGTCGGGAGGTACCGGCTGGTATCAATTAACAAGCCATAGGGGTTACCTCATGACGAGAGGTAAAGCGAACAAATGGAAGGATTGGCGGAACACCTTCCTTATCATTGAGGGTTCAGACACGGAGCTGAACCAACGTTTTAACAAGTGGAATAGGGATCCGCCTCTTCTCGCAGGCGGCCGCAGCATGCCGCCTGTTCCCCCAAAGGCTAAAAGAGAGATCCTAGACAAAGGACTCTTCAAAGTAGAGACTAGGGTGAACCCTACTTCAGGGGTACGAGAGCAAGTACCCCTAAACTGCGTCCCGAGCTTCAAGTGGCTCTATGACGAGTACTTTTTGGCCGCCTGTGGCCTCAGCAGTTGGTGCTCTAGAGGTAGCCGGCCTGACAAATACTCTGTTTTTTTCACGCCTTGTTTACTTGGGATCTTTACTAACTTTGCTGTTTATTTTTTGCAGCTGACGCCATGAGTAAAATAACAGCATCCAAGACTGCGGCGGCCATGTTGCGGGCCTCTCTCATGCAACAGTCTTATGCCGACTCCCCCAACAAGGGGGCACCCTTGGTAGGCTTCGAAAACTCTTCCTCTTTT